TTGTCCATCAGGTGTAGATGTACTGCAGAGTCTTGTCCAGAGGAGGGCGCTCTTCTGTGTTGGGCCATGCGTCTGTGGAGAGGTTGTTTGGTTTCTCCAATATAAAGATCAGAGCGTTCCTCCACCCCTCCGCTCACATTAGGTCTGGGGGGGTTTATCTTTAGGATGAACTAGCCTCTGTTTAAGGGTCTGATTGGTTTGAAATGTTCTGGGATTTAATGTTTGGAGAAAATCCTCTTGAGTTTTTCAGAGACTCAAGAGTTGGTAAGAAACATGATCCAAGATGGCATCCTGCCCTTTGAAACCACCACCAACCAGTCCAACTTCATTCCTACAGCATCACTGGATGCTGCCGTCAGCCTGCTGCCCTGGCACGCATCAGCAGGCGGGGTCACAGAAGGTCCAAAACACCAATGTTGAAGGTCATCAGAACTTCCCTTTGAGTACATGGAGTCTGTTGTTAGCAATGTCCATGGATGGAACATCCAATATGAATGAATTACACCTTCAATAACTATAATTTTATTTCATTAAAGCAAGAATGTTTAGCTTTTGAAAATATTCTTTGTCAGATCAGCTAAACAGCTGTCTAAGGTGTTCAGACTGATTTTTAAGATCAAATCATTTTTGGGAATCATTGCATAATGCCAATACAGATCCTAATGTTCAACATTTCAGCCTTGATTCTGTCTGACTAGCAGAACTTCACTGCTTTAATGTAGCTTCCAAACAATAATAGGAATCATTGAGAAAAAAACATACTGAAGGCCAGACCTATGAGGTGTTCATGTGAAGCACTCAGCTTACATCGACTAACTGTAACAATGAGCCTTTGTTCCCTGCATATCGGCTAAAATAACAGTTAAACTCAGCATGTGGTTCTGTAGTTTGGTTTATTCTGGTCTCATATTTGCTGTTTCCTATGATAAGTTTTGAGTATTTGTTTGGGTTGAATTAAAATATCATTCCTTTGTATTGATTGGTAATTGTTTTTTTAATCAGTTGTTCTTTTAAAACTAATTTTAAGGGCGACAGGATGTAGGAGTTTGCCCTGAAATCGAAGGATTGACGGTTCAAGCCCAGACTCAGACTTTCAGTGTCGTTGTGTCCTTGGGCAAGACACTTCACCTGCATCGTCTACTGATGGTGGTCAGAGGGCCCGGTGGCGCCACTGTACGGCAGCCCCGCTTCTGTCAGTGTGCCCCAGGACAGCTGTGGCTGCAATGTAGCTTGCCAACATGACTGTGTGCGTGAATGGGTGAATGAATGTAGTGTAAAGCGCTTTGGTCAAGTCTCCTGACTTGAAAAAAAGAGCTATATAAGTACAGGCCATTTACCATTTTTCTTGTTATTTTGCAGCTGTATATCCCTTTTATAATGGTTTCTTCCAATTTAGTCAACCTCTACATAAGAAACATGTCTGCCATTGTTCTTGATTGGTGATGTTCGGTTGAAGTGCTGAAAAAGAGAAAAATGAAAGACTGTTAAGCTTAAAACTCTTTGGAGCAAGTTGTTGTTTATGTTAGTTATTCACTGGATGTAACGATCACGGTAGTGTTGGTTTTCTCTAAGTTTTGAGTTTCACGTTTATCATTTTTCTTTGTTTTCTAGCTTTATTGGTGTGTTCTGGATTTATTTAAGTTTCTTAGGTTTTTCTTTGCTCGTCCTCTGTTGCCCCCTTGTGTTTTATTTTCCCTTGGCTTCCTCATCAGCTCTACTCACACCTGCTCCTTATCAGCTCGTTAGTCCTGCCTTTGTTCAGTCAGCCATTAATACACTCCCTGTGCATTCCCTCAGTGCTGGTTCCTCGTCTTACTTCGTCTTACCCTGGCTCCTCGTGATTGTTTTCCCCTGATGTCGCCATGGTTCTGGTTTGTGTTTAATTTTAATGTTGGATTTTTGGATTCCTGTTTTGTTTAACATTTTTAAGTTGGATTTTTTTTGGATTCCTCTCATCATTCATTAAATCTTTAAATAACTCACCCCTGCCTCACAGCCTCTGCCTTTGGGTTCTCACAAAAACCTCCACCCAGATCCTGACACTGGATTGCTGATTGCAAGAAAAAAAGTGAAGCCACCGTCCGCCATGCTGGTACTCCCCACTCCCACGGAGACGCTCAGTAATAATGCCTACCTGTGTAGCATTTGGCTGCTAAAACCAGCAGTTTGCCAGCTGTAGGAAGACGTTTAACAGGTCATTTCACAGTCAGTGTGTGTACATGTACGTGTATGTGTAATTTTTTTTTCAAATGATCAGATTTTTGTTGTAATATGAACTTGATGCCACCTGTTATTTTACTAATTGGTGTGATTTTGTTAGTGTGGAAACTGAAGCTCTGGTTCAAACTGGTTCATTAATTTAGCTCTGTTGTAAATCTGTCAGATTTACAGGCTAATGCACACAGAGTTTAAAGTATATGGAATCATCCATCCATCCATCCATCATCCATCCATCCATCATCCATCATCCATCAATCCATCATCCATCCATCCATCCATCCATCATCCATCCATCCATCCATCATCCATCATCCATCAATCCATCATCCATCAATCCATCATCCATCCATCCATCCATCATCCATCCATCCATCATCCATCATCCATCAATCCATCATCCATCCATCCATCCATCCATCCATCCATCCATCCATCCATCCATCATCCATCCATCCATCCATCATCCATCAATCCATCATCCATCCATCCATCCATCCATCCATCCATCCATCCATCCATCATCCATCCATCCATCATCCATCATCCATCAATCCATCATCCATCAATCCATCATCCATCCATCCATCCATCCATCATCCATCCATCCATCCATCATCCATCAATCCATCATCCATCCATCCATCCATCCATCCATCCATCCATCCATCCATCCATCATCCATCCATCCATCATCCATCATCCATCAATCCATCATCCATCCATCCATCCATCCATCATCCATCCATCCATCCATCCATCATCCATCAATCCATCATCCATCCATCCATCCATCCATCATCCATCCATCAACCATCCATCATCCATCCATCATCCATCCATCATCCATCATCCATCCATCCATCCATCCATCATCCATCCATCATCCATCCATCATCCATCCATCATCCATCCATCATCCATCCATCCATCCATCCATCATCCATCCATCCATCCATCCATCCATCCATCCATCATCCATCAATCCATCATCCATCCATCCATCCATCCATCCATCATCCATCCATCCATCCATCATCCATCATCCATCATCCATCCATCCATCCATCATCCATCATCCATCCATCATCCATCATCCATCCATCCATCCATCCATCCATCCATCCATCCATCCATCCATCATCCATCCATCCATCCATCCATCCATCCATCCATCCATCCATCCATCCATCCATCCATCCATCCATCCATCCATCCATCCATCATCCATCCATCCATCCATCCATCCATCCATCCATCCATCCATCCATCCATCCATCCATCCATCCATCCATCCATCCATCCATCCATCCATCCATCCATCCATCCATCCATCCATCCATCCATCCATCCATCCATCCATCCATCCATCCATCCATCCATCCATCGCTTATCCGGGGTCGGGTCGTGGGGGTAGCAGCTTCAGTAGGGAGGCCCAGACGTCCCTCTCCGCAGCCACTTGGTCCAGCTCCTCCGGGGGAACCCCAAGGCGCTCCCAGGCCAGCAGAGAAACATAGTCCCTCCAGCATGTCCTGGGTCTCCCCCTGGGCCTCCCCCTGGTGGGACGTGCCTGGAACTCCTCACCAGGGAGACGTCCAGGAGGCATCCTAATCTGATGCCCGAGCCACCTCAACTGGCTCCTCTCGATGTGGAGGAGCAGCGGCTCTACTCTGAGTCCTCGCCGGATGACTGAGCTCCTCCCCCTCTCTCTAAGGCAGAGCCCAGACACGCTACGGGGAAAACTCATTTCAGCCGCTTGGATCCGCGATCTCATTCTTTCATTCATGACCCAAAGCTCATGACCATAGATGAGGGTAGGAACGTAGATCGCCCGGTAAATTGAGAGCTTTGCTTTTTGGCTCAGCTCTCTCTTCACCACTACAGACCGGTACAGCGCACGCTTTACAGCAGACGCAGCACCAATCCACCAATTGATCTCCCGCTCCATCTTCCCCTCATTCGTGAACATTTGGAGATTTGGAGGCACTGATCCTCATCCCGGCTGCTTCACACTCGGCTGCGAACCGCTCCAGTGAGAGCTGTAGATCACGCCCTGATGAAGCCAACAGAACCACATCATCTGCAAATAACAGAGATGTCCTTTTATGGACAGAATTTCTAGGTGCAGCCAAGGTGTTGAAGGGATCTATTTTGGTGGCCTTAGGATTGCATCTCAGTTATATCATTCATGCACAATTATCATTACATGTACTTGTAATTCAGTCTTTATGTAAAATCTTAAAATTATATGTAAGAAATAATGACCATATAAATGTAATAAATCCATGTATATTACATGTTCATCAGCAATTTATCACTTTTGGCACATCTGTATTATTCTGCTCCATTAACACATTAATTTTATTGTGAAGGATTTCTATACTATGTTGCATAATTTATAGACTTCATTGACTTCATAATGACTCTGCAATGTGGTACGCCTAATTATTTTATTCTAAGTTAAAGTTAATCTACTGATGCTATCAAACAGCCAGTATGTGTCAAAGTGATGAATTTATCTTCATCGTAAAAGTCTTAAGTCTCCCTGAAAATGAGAACATCATGGTTGTTCGATGCTGTAGCACAAAGATTGTTTACAATGCGACCGGTCTAACTGGGGAGTACCAATATGGCGACCGGTGGCGTCACTATAATCCTGTACTACCAACGATCAGCAGTCCAGTGAATAAGGATCAGTGTTCCCGCCTCCAAGACTGCTTGTTCTCCCTACGAGCATGTCACACTAACAAACTACAAGTCCCAGAGTGCTGTTCCAGAGCTAAAGCTGGTCATATGACCAAGCAGAAGGAGCAGGTGGTTTGTGGTCATATGATGTTTTTAGCTTACATCCAGGAGCAGCAACATCCCACTTGAATCTTCACATCTCTCCCTGCGTTCAAAGGTAAAGCTGGAGCATTGCTCCTATTCACCCTCATTTTCTGCCCTGAAAGATGCTGCAGCCTCACATCACGCAGCAGAGGGAGGAGGAGAGGAGAGGGACAGGAAGAGTGGGGGGGTTGGAGGCTGTACAAGAGGTTTTCTGTAGACAACAATGGAGCACAGATGGTTCAACTGGTGAAATGTATCTGTATAAAGTGTGTGGCTGCTGACTGCGTGTGACGCCAGCGTATCTGCAGGGATCAGCTGTGCTGCAGACGTATGAACGTGTGATAAAAGAATGAGTCTGAATTTTGCTGTTTTATTCCAGGAGGTCTGTGGAGCAGAAAAGCATGGCTGCAGGATTGATGAATGTAGATGTCTCTCCTTTCTATTCTACCAATAGCTGTAAAATCGCTCTGCTTTATGAAATTTGCTTTGTACAGGAATGATGATTTAAAACAGGCAGTGTCTCGTTCTGATATGATAAATACATCTATTCCAGAACACAATGTAAACCCGCTCTGGGGCATAAATACTACAGTTTGCTGCTATAAAGTCAGCTGCGGATTTAAGAAATGTGGGGCCCTAGGCAAAGACAGGCAGGGGCCCCTCTGAATGGAGAAGACAACACATAGAGCAGCCCCATTCTACAGATAGAGAAATGTTAATAGAATAGACATCCATTCTCTGTTCTAGGTTGTGTCCCTCTCTTCTTGTCCTTTTTCTTCTTGTTTTCCTCTCTATGTTTTGTACTCAGCTGACTTTTCATGCTGTCTCTAAAGGAATGAAAGATTTTTTCCAAGCACTAAGCTCACTTAGCTGATTGCTCCTTCCTGTGTTTCCAAAAAGGCCAAAGTAAATAACCCAGTCCTTCTTTTCACTGTAGACAAGCCATGATCTGCTTATCTGTTCTCCATTTTTCATTTGGATGAAATAATAGCTGCATGAATCATGACAGCAGACAAGATAGAGGAGAGCAGGAGGCGGGGTTACCAATCTACTCGCTCTGGAGAGCAGAGTTCGCTGCTTTTAGATGTTGTCTCCAAAGTCTCCAGTAGCAGAAAAAAGTCTCTAGATTTGGCGCTAGGAGCTTTTTAGAAATCAAAGTGCTAGAGGGGTCTGAAAAGTGGCTAAATATAGCGACTAAAGCGCTAAGTTGGCAACACTGCTCTTTGCATGGTTTGTTTTCAAATGGTTTGCTGCTGTCTGTTTGGACCTTTCTGAACATGTGCAGCAAATGGACTGATCCAATATGGTGGACACTGAAGGGGGGGGCTGAGACACACTTAATATTATCAGAGTTCTGATGGCATTTTAGCCAAAGGATTTTCATTAAAAAATAATTAATGTGCACAAATAAGGAATAGTCATATTAACCATACATGGAAGCAGAGTTTTATGGGCCCCCCAGGAACTTGGGGCCCTAGGAAACTGCCTAGTATTGCCTAACGGTAAATCCCTCCCAGTACAAAGTATGAGTCTCACTAAAAATGTTCGGGGTGGTCTCCAGACTACCAGGAAAATCTTGGCATGTCTGGATATTATTAACTAAATCAAAGTTAGAGCTTTTAGAAAATTCAGAAACACTTAAATTGTAGTTTGAAAGAATAACTTAAAGCATTATTTTGTGGACAATTTCAGTCCAAAGAAAATGAACTAAAGTTAGTTTTTACATTTTTTGTTCAATATTTATGCCTACAAAGTGAGAATAATCAACCCAGAAAATTGTTTGTTAAATCGTAACATCAGCCTATTAAATTCTTACATGTATTTCTCTACTTAATTGTGAAAGAAAATAATTGATTAATATATTTCTATGCTTCTTGTTGATGTTTTATTTAATAAGGTATTTAAATCTGGAATTCTAATCAAATTTCCAATCACACTTACTAATCAAATATGACTGACTTTCATGTAGCCGACTGTTTTTTATTTGGAAGACGGAGAGATTTATAGTATTGTTTCATTAATAGAAATAATTCAAAGAATTATTATCATCCTAACAATAATCATTTATAGGATAATAATATAGGGTTCCAAGGGTTAGAGATAGAGGAGCCCTCAGTCAGAGAATAATGTAAATTTAAAAAGATAATAAAGAAAAATAAATAAATGCAGAAACAAGCAAAATCCTGAAGACAAATGAATCAGATGACCTAACAGCAGCTTACGTTGTCTACTCCATATTTCCATCCCTCCAACCTTCTCTGTTTTTGCTTTTCTCTTCCCAGCTTTAATTTTGCCTCCTGTTGTTCCGTTTTGCTTCATTTTACTTGGTCTGCATTTTTTTCTGAGTGTGCTAAAATGCTTCTTCCTTTCCAAAGGAAAGCTTTTCCCATAATGCCGCAGTTTTGCCGTAAGTGATTCACACTTCATTTCTGCCTTCATTTGGACAGATGATGCACACTTCCACTGCGTCAACATTTCCATCATCCCTCAGTAACTGCTCAATATGTTCCCTCCTGCTAGTTTGCTGGAAAAGCTCGAGAATTTGATTAAACATGAAAACCTTTTAAAATGTTATTTTTCTCCCCTACAATAAATTAAAACCAACAAATCATTACCTAATGTTTGAAAAAAGATTCAAGAGTCTCTCTGTTCTCGCTACATGTAGTTTAAATCAACCATTTATAATCCGAGAACATTTTGTGACAAAATAATGAAAACTTCATTTAAAAAAGCTTCATTTTAGTTTTTGTTATTGATACTCCCATAATCGTCAATCACAAAAAAATGTATTAAATGACATTATAGATTTATTTACCGCATTATGATGGGTTATATTAGCTGAAAACATTTTGTAGCAGCTCCTCAGCCAGTTCTGACGGGTGAATTAAAGGAAAAGTCGCTCATATTCAGAATTCAAACTTCTGAAAGTTCTTTAAATCTGAAATGATTCCATCCTGTTCAATAAATGATCAGTGTTTTTAATTCAGAGTAATTTCCATGTGAATGTGCTTTACTGGAGGCATCCATGTTTGTCAAAGAACACTACTGCCACTAGGGGGTGTAAATCACATCCATCATGGCGATTCGATTCAGTATCGATTTCCTGACCCAACAATTCGATTATTTTCGATACTCAAGAATACACCACGATACGATTCGATTCTATTCTATTTGATTAATCGATTAATCTGTTAATTTTTATTTTTTTATTTTTTTTTACACCTTACAGGCTAAACAAAGTTTCAAGTTTCAAATAAATCAATGAAAGCTGTAATATAGTTATGCATTATTTTTTAGAAACAACTGCAAATAACAGAAGTAGAAAAGTTGAATCAAAAATACTGCAATAAATCAGTGCAATTCAATACCTCGGCTCCAGACGCCCCGCCCCCTCCACAGACTCTCCGCTGCTCCTCTCCCAAATTGTAGCTGACCGCAGACAGGAGGCCGGCTTGTTTTGTTTTTATGACCGAAATTGCGTAAAACAACTCGTGAAGTTTGACCCGCTAGAAGAGCGAGCTGCGCGAGAACGCTGGGACCCTTTTTCCACCTGGATCTCCGCTCTTTTTGGTCCTCATGTCCCTCCGTCGTCGGACTAAACTCGCCCCCACTTCCTCGCCGCCTCGGCCGTATCTAGACCCACAGCGTGTAGCACAGACCACGCTTCAATATTGAGCATAATTTAAAAATGTCTGCATCAAGCTCACTGCTACACACTGCTGTAAGAGTATAACCAGGAAGCGAGGTAGGAGGGCAAAATAGGTTTAGCGCCACCGCAGCACGGGAGGGAGAATTACGCCCAGGAGCAAATAGATAAAAATAGACCGGAGAAAAAAAAAGACATGAATCAATTCTCTTTCGGACGTGTCGATGCATCGGATCGTCGGCTGTTGGATCGATGCATCGATACAAATGAGTATTATTTACACCCCTAACCGCCACCTACTGGTTAGTGACGTCACGGTGCGGTATCGGCTGTTGATCAAGTCCCAGTGCTGTATCTGGTGTTTGTCACAACGCGCTATTATCCAAGTCATCTTGACATCACTGCTGGAAGATGGCAGGAGGGAGGGGTTATTATATTTGGGCAAAAATGGCCGCTCCCAGACTCAGTGATCGCAATGAAAATTTATTGATTAAATGATCCATTAATTATTCCTTGCTGACCGGACTTTTCCTTTAAGCGTTTTATTTTATTTGATGGAGATCCTCATCAGTCACCGCAGTTACTTCAGTCACCTTGAGAACTAAAACATAAAATATTAGAATACAAAACATAAAGTTAGAATATAAAAAACAAAACAAAACGTACTTCGCTGCTTCCACTGGGGAACACTAAGCATAGTGTAAGTTATCGGTTGGTACAGTGATTCTACCAGCTTTTATAGGGCCTGCCATTCCCATCAAGGAATTTAGAAAGCTTCCTGGATGGGAAGCGAAACGTCGTCAAACCTTGAAAACAAAGTCCACTGGATTGTTTTTTAAACTTTTTCAGAATTAATATGATTTATTGTATGATAAGACATTGTGAAGGATGAGACAGAGGGAGAAGCTGATGGACAAACACATCAACAATCAGAGCTTCTATGCTTGTTGTACCATATTAATATTTTAATGGTTGCTGCCTCTTATAGTTGTTTTACATCTTGTGCATCTCCTGGGGGATTCACCCTCCTGTCCTGAAAACCAACTGACACCTTTGGAAGAGTCAGCTGAACATTTCTGTGCTTGTATTGGGAAATATAGAGCGGTGAGAACAGCGGTACTGCATAGATCTTTATCTGCAGTATTACCACTTTAAAATCGATTACATTTCCATATAACCTAATAGTAAGCAGAGAAGGTTATCAAAGCTCAGGATTGAAATGATAATCGTTTTTAGGAAGCATAAGGATGTTATAAAAGATATGCACTGCCAGTCAGTCTTTTTGTGGATGATCTGCACCCCCTGTGTCTTTGTTAATGTCAAGGTAATTTTCTGTGAATGACGTCGAGCTCCATGTTGCTGTGTTGCTCCAGCAAACTGAATATTCAGAACTGTGGCTAAATTGGTACCAAATGGAGCTCAAACAG